CTCACCCCACTCACCCCTCTCTGGCCGCACATGCACAGTGGCACGCGCATCAGAGTACAGAATGACATGTGAAGCTCGATCACCCCTCCCTCTCTCTCAACTCTCTCATCTCCCCCACCCGCTCACCCCACTCACCCCTCTCTGGCCGCACATGCACAGTGGCACGCGCATCAGAGTACAGAATGACATGTGAAGCTCGATCACCCCTCCCTCTCTCTCAACTCTCTCATCTCCCCCACCCGCTCACCCCACTCACCCCTCTCTGGCCGCACATCCACAGTGGCACGCGCATCAGAGTACAGAATGACATGTGAAGCTCGATCACCCCTCCCTCTCTCTCAACTCTCTCATCTCCCCCACCCGCTCACCCCACTCACCCCTCTCTGGCCGCACATGCACAGTGGCACGCGCATCAGAGTACAGAATGACATGTGAAGCTCGATCACCCCTCCCTCTCTCTCAACTCTCTCATCTCCCCCACCCGCTCACCCCACTCACCCCTCTCTGGCCGCACATGCACAGTGGCACGCGCATCAGAGTACAGAATGACATGTGAAGCTCGATCACCCCTCCCTCTCTCTCAACTCTCTCATCTCCCCCACCCGCTCACCCCACTCACCCCTCTCTGGCCGCACATCCACAGTGGCACGCGCATCAGAGTACAGAATGACATGTGAAGCTCGATCACCCCTCCCTCTCTCTCAACTCTCTCATCTCCCCCACCCGCTCACCCCACTCACCCCTCTCTGGCCGCACATCCACAGTGGCACGCGCATCAGAGTACAGAATGACATGTGAAGCTCGATCACCCCTCCCTCTCTCTCAACTCTCTCATCTCCCCCACCCGCTCACCCCACTCACCCCTCTCTGGCCGCACATCCACAGTGGCACGCGCATCAGAGTACAGAATGACATGTGAAGCTCGATCACCCCTCCCTCTCTCTCAACTCTCTCATCTCCCCCACCCGCTCACCCCACTCACCCCTCTCTGGCCGCACATCCACAGTGGCACGCGCATCAGAGTACAGAATGACATGTGAAGCTCGATCACCCCTCCCTCTCTCTCAACTCTCTCATCTCCCCCACCCGCTCACCCCACTCACCCCTCTCTGGCCGCACATCCACAGTGGCACGCGCATCAGAGTACAGAATGACATGTGAAGCTCGATCACCCCTCCCTCTCTCTCAACTCTCTCATCTCCCCCACCCGCTCACCCCACTCACCCCTCTCTGGCCGCACATGCACAGTGGCACGCGCATCAGAGTACAGAATGACATGTGAAGCTCGATCACCCCTCCCTCTCTCTCAACTCTCTCATCTCCCCCACCCGCTCACCCCACTCACCCCTCTCTGGCCGCACATGCACAGTGGCACGCGCATCAGAGTACAGAATGACATGTGAAGCTCGATCACCCCTCCCTCTCTCTCAACTCTCTCATCTCCCCCACCCGCTCACCCCACTCACCCCTCTCTGGCCGCACATGCACAGTGGCACGCGCATCAGAGTACAGAATGACATGTGAAGCTCGATCACCCCTCCCTCTCTCTCAACTCTCTCATCTCCCCCACCCGCTCACCCCACTCACCCCTCTCTGGCCGCACATGCACAGTGGCACGCGCATCAGAGTACAGAATGACATGTGAAGCTCGATCACCCCTCCCTCTCTCTCAACTCTCTCATCTCCCCCACCCGCTCACCCCACTCACCCCTCTCTGGCCGCACATGCACAGTGGCACGCGCATCAGAGTACAGAATGACATGTGAAGCTCGATCACCCCTCCCTCTCTCTCAACTCTCTCATCTCCCCCACCCGCTCACCCCACTCACCCCTCTCTGGCCGCACATGCACAGTGGCACGCGCATCAGAGTACAGAATGACATGTGAAGCTCGATCACCCCTCCCTCTCTCTCAACTCTCTCATCTCCCCCACCCGCTCACCCCACTCACCCCTCTCTGGCCGCACATGCACAGTGGCACGCGCATCAGAGTACAGAATGACATGTGAAGCTCGATCACCCCTCCCTCTCTCTCAACTCTCTCATCTCCCCCACCCGCTCACCCCACTCACCCCTCTCTGGCCGCACATGCACAGTGGCACGCGCATCAGAGTACAGAATGACATGTGAAGCTCGATCACCCCTCCCTCTCTCTCAACTCTCTCATCTCCCCCACCCGCTCACCCCACTCACCCCTCTCTGGCCGCACATGCACAGTGGCACGCGCATCAGAGTACAGAATGACATGTGAAGCTCGATCACCCCTCCCTCTCTCTCAACTCTCTCATCTCCCCCACCCGCTCACCCCACTCACCCCTCTCTGGCCGCACATGCACAGTGGCACGCGCATCAGAGTACAGAATGACATGTGAAGCTCGATCACCCCTCCCTCTCTCTCAACTCTCTCATCTCCCCCACCCGCTCACCCCACTCACCCCTCTCTGGCCGCACATGCACAGTGGCACGCGCATCAGAGTACAGAATGACATGTGAAGCTCGATCACCCCTCCCTCTCTCTCAACTCTCTCATCTCCCCCACCCGCTCACCCCACTCACCCCTCTCTGGCCGCACATGCACAGTGGCACGCGCATCAGAGTACAGAATGACATGTGAAGCTCGATCACCCCTCCCTCTCTCTCAACTCTCTCATCTCCCCCACCCGCTCACCCCACTCACCCCTCTCTGGCCGCACATGCACAGTGGCACGCGCATCAGAGTACAGAATGACATGTGAAGCTCGATCACCCCTCCCTCTCTCTCAACTCTCTCATCTCCCCCACCCGCTCACCCCACTCACCCCTCTCTGGCCGCACATGCACAGTGGCACGCGCATCAGAGTACAGAATGACATGTGAAGCTCGATCACCCCTCCCTCTCTCTCAACTCTCTCATCTCCCCCACCCGCTCACCCCACTCACCCCTCTCTGGCCGCACATGCACAGTGGCACGCGCATCAGAGTACAGAATGACATGTGAAGCTCGATCACCCCTCCCTCTCTCTCAACTCTCTCATCTCCCCCACCCGCTCACCCCACTCACCCCTCTCTGGCCACACATGCACAGTGGCACGCGCATCAGAGTACAGAATGACATGTGAAGCTCGATCACCCCTCCCTCTCTCTCAACTCTCTCATCTCCCCCACCCGCTCACCCCACTCACCCCTCTCTGGCCGCACATGCACAGTGGCACGCGCATCAGAGTACAGAATGACATGTGAAGCTCGATCACCCCTCCCTCTCTCTCAACTCTCTCATCTCCCCCACCCGCTCACCCCACTCACCCCTCTCTGGCCGCACATGCACAGTGGCACGCGCATCAGAGTACAGAATGACATGTGAAGCTCGATCACCCCTCCCTCTCTCTCAACTCTCTCATCTCCCCCACCCGCTCACCCCACTCACCCCTCTCTGGCCGCACATGCACAGTGGCACGCGCATCAGAGTACAGAATGACATGTGAAGCTCGATCACCCCTCCCTCTCTCTCAACTCTCTCATCTCCCCCACCCGCTCACCCCACTCACCCCTCTCTGGACGCACATCCACAGTGGCACGCGCATCAGAGTACAGAATGACATGTGAAGCTCGATCACCCCTCCCTCTCTCTCAACTCTCTCATCTCCCCCACCCGCTCACCCCACTCACCCCTCTCTGGCCGCACATGCACAGTGGCACGCGCATCAGAGTACAGAATGACATGTGAAGCTCGATCACCCCTCCCTCTCTCTCAACTCTCTCATCTCCCCCACCCGCTCACCCCACTCACCCCTCTCTGGCCGCACATGCACAGTGGCACGCGCATCAGAGTACAGAATGACATGTGAAGCTCGATCACCCCTCCCTCTCTCTCAACTCTCTCATCTCCCCCACCCGCTCACCCCACTCACCCCTCTCTGGCCGCACATGCACAGTGGCACGCGCATCAGAGTACAGAATGACATGTGAAGCTCGATCACCCCTCCCTCTCTCTCAACTCTCTCATCTCCCCCACCCGCTCACCCCACTCACCCCTCTCTGGCCGCACATGCACAGTGGCACGCGCATCAGAGTACAGAATGACATGTGAAGCTCGATCACCCCTCCCTCTCTCTCAACTCTCTCATCTCCCCCACCCGCTCACCCCACTCACCCCTCTCTGGCCGCACATCCACAGTGGCACGCGCATCAGAGTACAGAATGACATGTGAAGCTCGATCACCCCTCCCTCTCTCTCAACTCTCTCATCTCCCCCACCCGCTCACCCCACTCACCCCTCTCTGGCCGCACATGCACAGTGGCACGCGCATCAGAGTACAGAATGACATGTGAAGCTCGATCACCCCTCCCTCTCTCTCAACTCTCTCATCTCCCCCACCCGCTCACCCCACTCACCCCTCTCTGGCCGCACATGCACAGTGGCACGCGCATCAGAGTACAGAATGACATGTGAAGCTCGATCACCCCTCCCTCTCTCTCAACTCTCTCATCTCCCCCACCCGCTCACCCCACTCACCCCTCTCTGGCCGCACATCCACAGTGGCACGCGCATCAGAGTACAGAATGACATGTGAAGCTCGATCACCCCTCCCTCTCTCTCAACTCTCTCATCTCCCCCACTCGCTTATTCTCCTCTCCTCAACTACCACCCTCCCCCCCTCCAAAGTCCCCCCCACCCCCCATCCCCCCCCCAACCACTCGTCCCCCTCACCTCTCTGGCCTCCGCAGTGGCACGCGCATCACAGTACAGAATGGCAGGGGGGACGGCGCAGCTGGTAGCCGACCAGTCCTGGAGGGACACGTGGACACGTTGGAGTGGGCAGGACAGTGCACGATGGGGGGTTGGAAAGGGGGAAGGAGAGGGGGAGAGGGGGAGAGGGGGGAGATTGGTTACAGCAGAGCGGAAGACCAAAGCAGGTGTTATTCTAAGGCGGGGAGGTAGTACCTGAGGAAGGTGACACCATAAGATAGTGGTATCTTGGGAAGGTGGTATCCTGAGAAAGTGGTATCCTGGGAAGGTGGTACCTGAGAAGGTGGTACCTGGGGAAGCAGGATGATGTCTTGCATCTGACCGGTCACAGCAACACCAACCACCCTCACCGCACTCAACCCATCTCCACTCACTCCACCCCATTCCCGTTCCCCACCCGCACTCCCCCCCTTCCGCCCATCCAGTTGCGCCAGGCACTCCCCAGCTGCGCCCGCCGCCGCTCTCCACCAATCAGACGGCTCCTGCTCCGCCGTCTGCCGCGCCTGTGCCACGTCATCACCCGCGCCACGTGGCGGAGCGTGCGGCCAGAACGCAGAAGCCACGACAGCACCATGCCACGTCACCACAGCCGCTTTGGTCCCGCCCGTACCCACGTCTATCGCCAAAACCGCCTCCTCCGCTTCGCGTTTAGGAGCATCCCGTTTTAAAGACGTCTCTAACTTAGTCCTGCCCCCTCCCGTTTCCGCGTCTTTCAATCCTATCGTTCGAGCCGCGTCTTCCTTCTCCCGCGCAGCTCCCTGGAATTCATCATTCGTCTGCGGAACTTTCTCCCGCGTAGCCTCCCCCGTAGCTCCCCGCGTAGCTCCCCAAAACTCGCCGTTCGTTCGCGCCTCGGGCATAAGCGGGGACGCTGCAGCTACGCGAGAAATTCGCCTGCTTCCCCTCTTGTCGTACAGGCCGACCAATCCAGGCGTGACACGGTGGATTTGGCCGGTGCTCGCGCTCTGGCTGGTCCTGCCGTGGTTCCTGCCGGGGGCAGTAGAGCTACCACTGCAAGCATGAGCACTGGATCTACCTCCCCCAGATAAACCCTCGCAGTCAACGCCTTCACCGGCTAATAGACTCCTGCGCGACAATATAAATCTTCGTTCAACTCTTTTTGAGAAGACATGGCGATAACAGGTTGGATGGGACAGAGAAACGGCTGGAGGCGAGCATTTTCCCGGAGAAGCTATTAGCGCGTACGGCAGCATCGACGGTGAGCGCCCGAGTCGCGCACATGGGGGGTATGTGGATTTTAGAATGAGCGGAGGCTGGATGAACGCGATTGATGATAATTTCGATATGGCACATTATGCATCCACTTCAATAGCGGCACCGATTCTGTACATGGAAACGAATGAGTATGCACGAGGGATTGGTTGCAATCGGGGACGTTCAGCGGGAATAGGCGGGGATCGAGTGTATTGTCTCTCTGCCTTCATATTGTATCGTAAGTTCATAAACTTTTTCGTTATTCGTTATTGGCACACGCTAGTTTCAAACAGTTCCGGTTTGCGGATGAGGGAACAGTTCTCAGGCAGTTGTGTCGTCTTCTGTGACTGGATGCATTGCCCCCCACCCCACCCTGGGCGCAAATTTCTCCACCCACCCATGCGACATGCCCATTGCCCAGCCGCCTAGCCACCCACTTCCCTTCCCTCCAGCTCGGACTTCCTCAGCAGGGTTTGGTCCGTGCGCCATCGTGAGGCTAGCTCCAACCCGCAAATCAAAACCGTCGAAAGGATGGAAGAGAACAGTGGTTCGCCGAGAGAAGATCCCCCATGTGCGCTTCGCAGCTGACATTCTCCCTGGATTACAGGTGATCAACCACCTGCGCCGAGGAACCTAGGGTTCCTATTTTCTGTAAAAGTACAGTAGTGAGTGTCCCTTTTCTTTAGCCACATGATGTTTAGCATCAGTTTTTAGGGGAGCCCTGTGGGAAGCTGTGGCTTGGTGTCGTCCTACGAAAGTATTGCTTCACAAATGGAACGCGCCGCAGGTATCTGAAGATGTTTGAACAGACAAACCAGATCATTTTTGTTCTGTAGCAGGTTCGAGCGAAGTGGCACCTGAGGGGTCAGGGGTTTTCAACGACCCTCGCAAAAGGCTATTTTTTCGCAGATCTATAGGTGAGCACCATGACCCATGATGCGCCTCCCCATCATGCACCTCCTTCCTGGCCGAAAAGACACCATGGATGGGTTTGCCGACATGTCCAAGCCAATCACATCCCTTGAGACATGCCCGCTAAGCCAAACCGCATGGTACAAACGCATCCTCCTCCATGCATCCTCCTCCGAGCATCAACCACTGTGGCAGTCATTTTTCCAGGGGAATTTCCAGGCAGTCTGAGCTCTGCGCTTCCAGCGAAAGAGGCACCTTCTGTTGCAAACTCTTCACAAGTCCCAACCATCCAAGCATTCAAGCTACTTGTCAGAATTTGCCGGCCAATGTGGGAGCCTCGTCTCTCTGCGATTAGCACTAGCAAATTGAACCAACAGCAGTGGGGTGGGGATCACAGTACTTCGATAACCAGGCCATTTTTTCCTAGAGACCATACTAACCCAATTCGTTCATTCTTTATTCTCGCCGTTTTTCGAAGATTCACGTAGTCCGTACGAACGAGAAATACTACCAGCCAGGCAAACACGCGCCATGGCCGTCCCATCGCAGCGCACGCTGCGCGTCGTCTGCATCTTACTCCTCGTCGCCCTCCCCTGCCTCGTCGAGGCAGCACGGAAAAGAAAGAAGGGGGACACGCCTCCCTTGCCGTCCGTCCGCTTCTACAAATCAACAGTCAAAGTCTCTTACGCCGGAGTAGCGAAAATTCCCGCCACGGCCACGCAAGGCGCGGCCGTTCAGAGCCGACAGGTGTTGGAGACTCCAAGAAGTCAACTCTTCGGCCGCCGTCTATTGGAAGACGACAGCATTGTGCTCGAGACTGCGGCTACCGAACCTGCTGCCGAGCCTGCTGACGATGATGGGCAGCCGGACCTGGACTTTGATCCTCGGCCGCTGCTCCCGCTCGCGGAGCTTACCGGAGCCACCGCGGTTAGTACTCTCACTCTTCCGCGGTTCATGTTTTCGAGGTTCACCACGATTAGTCCTCTTTGAAATTTGGCCTTCACTCTAAGTCGCGGATAGGATAATCTCTTTCCGCTTGCATGCCGCGTATGCGAATATGACAGTCGCGCATCGCGTCGTACAGCATCGTGTCGCACAGGATCGCGTCGCGTGTGCGATCGCCGTGCCCATCTACTCAACCAGGACAATAGCGATCCCATTTTGCCTAGGATGGTATGTCTAGCGGTCAGCGGGTTACTGGGCCTGACGAGATTACTAGGTACATTCGCTATAGGTACGTTTTGCTCGCAGTTGGTTCGACTATTGTTGTGGTGTATCGACTTTTACGTGGCAACCGGTTGGCCCGAAATCGCGACAGTCGCGACAGCTCGTCTAGCTTCGACAAGTCGGCGGCCTAGAGGGGTGGTTGCGCGTCGGCGTAGGTGTCAGCTTAGGTGCGGGCACAGCCTGCGACACCCATGGCGCATCAGCTTAGGTCGTTTTCCGTGTGACGCAGCACTGTCGCGGCACGGGGAGTCGCACGCTTTGCAGTATTATAATCGACGGGCGGTGTCGCAACGGTGTTCGCGCTTGCTCTTTCTATGAAGTCTGGAGGGCTTGTTGTGAATCGGAGCGCGGCACATGCAAAGCGTTCTACGCGGAAGAGTCCTCGTACGGATCGCTTCCGTCTCGCGCGCTCACCTCTCCGCTCTCTTACCCTCCTTCCCTTCATATCTCCCGCGCGGGTTTGTACGCGTTACAGGACCTCGAGGCGGCCAAGAAGAGGAAGCCCAAGGCGTTTCTATCACTTACCCTCATTCCCTCCTCCGTCCCCGGCCTTCTTTCCCCTCCCTTTCGCCCGCGTGTTACAGGACCTCGAGGCGGCCAAGAAGAAGAAACCCAAGGCGTTTCTATCGCTGACGGCCGCCCCCTTCTCGCCGTCAGTTCTCAAGAGCGGCGTTACCGCCAAGCAGACGGCCACCACCGGCACCGCCGCATACGCCAGCGACTCGAGCGTGCCCGACCCTTCCCTATGCGCCGGCAGCAACTACGTCGTGCAAGTCGTCAATTGGGGTAGGTTCAACCGCACCCGCTTTCCTGTTTCTCTCTTTTTCTTCCCTCCCCATTCCCTTTTTGGACTGGACGAGTTTCTTTCGAGTGCTTCTTGGCAACCTCTCGTATCACTCTCACCCCCTCCTCTTTCCTCCCTTCCCTTCTCCCCTGCAGCCATCGTGGTGTTCGACGGCAGCGGCAAGGCGCTCACGGCGCCCGTGTCGCTGAACGAGTTTCTGGGGGTCAACCCGTACCGCGGCACCACCGTGGGCGACCTCGTGACCAAGGCGTCGTGCGTCTACGACTCGGCTTCGAAGCGATTCTTCCTCTCCGCCGCCTGGCTGGTACGCTCATTGTTTGTTTGGAGGCGATTTTTGAGTCGACTTCAAAAGTCACCTTGCTACGGCTGTCATGGATCGCGTGAAATGCTCTCTGTCTTTGGCTGGTTGTATCTGAAAAAGATTATCTAATTCGCGGCTGCGCTTACTCTCCGCCACACACGGCTCTTCATGCTCCCGCTTTCCTCCTGTTTCCCCGTCTACCTTCCGCAACAGGCGGGCAATTCCAACGCGTACGACAAGTTCGGCCAGACGCGCAAGGACAACAAGGGCGTCTCGCGCGGCTCGGGCATCGTGCTCGCCGTCTCTGCCGCCGAGAAGCCGCTCGACGCGTGGAGCGTCTATTTCGTCGGGACCACCAACGACGGAACCAACGGTCCAGATGATCACCTCGCGCCGCTCGCGTACACGGGCGAGCTGTTCTACAACACGTACCCGCGGCTCGGCGTGGACGCGAACGGCGTGTATGTGACGACGCAGCAGGTTACCTATTCGGTGGTGGACGACGTGTGGCAGGGCAGCAACATCTTGTAAGTTGTTCTTACGCTTACCCTTGATTGTTTCTGCTGTTGCTGTTGCTGCTAGTGAGAATGAGAGAGTGCGTGAATGGCTCTGGCTGTCGCGTGGACGCGAACGGAGTGAATGTGACGACGCAGCAGGCAACGTACTCGACGGTGGACGACGTGTGGCAGGGCAGCAATATCTTGTGAGTTGCTCTTACGCTTGCCGTTGCTGTTTCTGCTCGTGAGAATGAGAGAGCGCGTGAGAGGCTCTGGCCGTGGCGTGGACGCGAACGGAGTGTACGTGACGACGCAGCAGGCGACGTACTCGACGGTGGACGACGTGTGGCAGGGCAGCAACCTCTTTTAAGTTCCTGTTGCTGTTGCCCCGGTGTTCATCTGTGTGTGAGAGTCTGCGTGCGCGGTTGTGTCTGTTGCTGTGCGTGTGTTTGTGTTTGTGTGCCCTCTTGTGTTTTTTCAAGCGTTGCACCCCTTCCCCTCTTCCTTCCCTCGCCTTTCTCCCCTCCTCAACCCACCCCCACCCTCTTTAAATCCCCCCCCTCTTTAAATCCCCCCCCTGGCCCCTCCCCCTAACAGTGCATTCAGCAAGGCGGCTCTCCTCAAGCAAGCCGACATCACAGCCGTCAGATTCGCGCTCCCGCGCATGTCCCGCACCGATCAAACGGTCCTCCAGTACTGGACAATCGAGCCCGCGGCCGCCTCAGCGGACGGCAAATACGACCTCACCAACAAGGGCACCATGTGGTTCGGAGCGTACGACGTCTCATGGGCCATGTCCGGCCACTCCGCAGTCTTCGCTTTCGCCATCACCAACACCGTATCCCTCTCGGCCAACAACCCCACCCTCACGCTCCTCACCGCCATCGCCAACTGCTCGTTCTA